TTCTTTATTTCTTTTCTCATTTCTTTTTTTTTTAAGAAAATTTTCTAATAATCAGACGACATTCCGTGAAATGAAACTGAACCTCTCCATGTTATGATACCACTATGATTTTAATTATAATGTCCTAGGATGAGCGACTTACCGCTCCGCTTATGTGTAGAGCCATTCGAGCCCAATCGGAATGTGTCTGTGGATAGATACCCTAAAATTGAATCTATTGCCAAATTGTCTTTCAACTGAGCTATCAAGTCCTTTTTATCCTTTAGATTTCATCTTTTTTTAATCTTTAGTGCAGCCTCTTTTCTTATCGCCATTATGTCTTTTTAATTTTACTTACAAGTACGCTCTCAAAGCGTTTACAATTTAGTTTCTAACACTACTGTTACATATACTAGCTCATAAAGACATGTAAATAGTGCTTTGTCATTGCTTGTCGGTTGAGTCATTTTTATTATAGCATATACATGCATGCTAGCAGGCTTACCTTTACTCTTTACCATTTAGCTTTTTATAATTAGACTACTTCCACTTACAATGACATTGTTTTATAAGACTAAGCCGTTCTTAGCAGATATTGGGAGCCAAGTTGTTCGACAATGAGGCAACAGATCGCTGTACCTTCGTTGTTTGTTGTCCCATTTCAGACCATGTGATGCCACTCTTGGGATTTGATTCTTTCATGTGTATACAGTTTAACATGTTCATCACAAAAGAACAATTCTCAAGGGAATGTCACGTGGTCTGAAATGGGCAAATTGCATACGAAGGTAAAGAGGTCTATTAGTGCTGGTTCTCTGGTAGTTTCGCAAGAAAGTGTCACATAGGTTTAGACTCAACTGACCAGATATCGAACAACTGGGCTCAAATAGTCATCAATTTGATACAGATGAATTAATAGATTGAGATAAAAGGAACCAGTCGTTATTTAGCAGGGGGCGAGAGTTGCTACGTGTAGATATCGTAGCAGTAAAACTGAACCTGTGAACAATGGCTTCAATAATGTAAGAGAAACCCCTTTTATGCATGTTCTATATTGTGAAAGGTTTGGATGTTTTCTTATCCCTGGTTTAGCAAGCCACAAGAATACATGTGGCCGGTATAGGACTACTTCGACGATGCGGCGGCCATCTTGAATCGTAATGCATTGTTGGTCGTCCAGGGGGCAAACAAAGCTTTGTTACAGTAATGATGTCGATCGATAAAGATAATGAATTGAGGCGGCATATCGATCCCCTTTACCCATCTATGTTTTTTCTCTCATCTTTGTTTTGTTTTGCCCTCTGGCAAGATGGCCGCCGAATTGTCGAAGTAGTCCATTAGAATCAGTTCCTGTTTTCACATTTACCCCTCCCTCAAACATGATGGAACGTCTCCCAAAACTAAATAATGACTGAAAGACATGACTCCAATACACAAGAAAAAATGCGCTGCGAAGTATAGAACATGCACGGGTATTTTTTTTCTCGAAATTGAATTTACATGGTATTTATCTTCGTAATACTCGATTGTTGAACTTACTGAAACAGTGCGCAGCTGTAACAACCCAAGAGGACTTGATTAAGGTAGCGCCACATCTGTGTTGCGTACCGTTAAGGAACAGTGCTGCTTGCCATGGCCATGCTCCCTCCACACTTTCATGTCCTCCAACGATGCGTCGGTTACGTTTGAGTCTAAGACCACAGTGACCTGCCACAAAGTTCTTTTAGCTTTTTCTAATTTCTTTTTATAATGAAATTCTTTATTACATAACTATTTTCAGCATATAGACTAACTGTTAAAAAGACCGTCCGTTCTAAAAGGGCTTATGGCCCACAAGTGCGTTATAGTTCCACAGCACTGGCTAACTTGTATGATATCGTTCTACTTCGTCATATGATAGAAATGGGAATTTTGGTTTTCAATTTACCTTGTCTACACCTAGGTCGCCCTTTTCTAACTCTTGTTCCTGGGATTTCTTTGCCTGTTGTTGTATCAACACACCAGCATTTTTTACTTGGCATATAATGGCATTGTACCCGTTTGAACTTGCCGTTAACTTTACAGCGAGGGACGAAAGTTGACGGGCTCGTCTTCCTTAGCTTTGTTTTTCGATCTCTTTTCTTGAAGCACTTGCTGTGAACAGAACCTACAAATGCAACATTCTTTTACTCATCGATGCAGCAAAATTAACCCGCAGAAAAATGCAAGATCATCTACGCTTGAAGACTGAAATACAATTGGTTCAATTGAATGCATTAAATTGTCTAAGTACTGGCTAAGGGGGCACCAATTTCACGGTGCCTTAACAAGATGTATTCGCTGCATAACTTGAAGTAGCTGTCACCTTAATAATACCACCGTACCATTTAGATCAAATGCCCCCGGCGATAGTGGTTTGCTAACCATTTTTTGTTTATATAAGAAAAGGACAAGAGCCAAAAAGGGCGCAAGTATACCACCGCAGCTTGCCCTCAAGGATGAAAGTAATTATGTAATTAGTTTAAGAGGGCTCTTAAGCTTGTGTTTTATCTCTTTTCTCCATTACACCGGTATGAGTAGAGCATGCCTTGGCGATATCAGTCCATCTATCAGTCTATGGAGTTTGTGTATATAAATTCGTAGACCTCCCGCTAAGCAAACCACGCACTAACCATCTAAACTACCCTTGTTCTCTATAAACAAACATCTCTTAAACAAATCAATATATCATATTGAATCATGAATCTACCTGCTTCGGACTCGTTCTCTTCGACTTCAGTCGTATGTATCCCGAACACTTGGACTGGGTACTTTATTGTGCTAGTTTTCTTGGGTGGCTGGCGAGTATTGCCCATCACACCACCGTGTGCCATCTTTTTGCCATTGAGGTCCACGTTCCAGCAAACCTTTCTCCCTTTCTTCGTCTCACACTGGGTTTTCTTGTAGTTGCCATCTTCATCACACTCCGGGACATATGGCTGTGGGCTTGCTCGCGTAAGATATTTTCGTCGTTCAAGTTGGCATTTTGATAAATTTTCTACGTCATCAAGGATATAAAAGTTTAAAGTACCCATTACGATAGCAAGATGTTTTAATTTTATTTACGTGCGCAGGCGTAATTACAATATTTTGGAGAAAAATATTTCTTAAGCATGTCTAGTTTCCATTTTTATCTAAAGTTCCTCGTGCATACACTCAATTGAAGAATCGTTGTCGGGTTCAGAAACATAGAACATAAAAACTAAGACCGAAACGGCTCATGGGAAATGACATAATTATATTATAATTCATTCATTTGCGCCATCCATGCAGTCGGTTTAGAATGCCAAACGCGTATTAAAAGCAGTGGATGATGCCACGGGTCGCCGGTCACAGCATGGATCTAATTAACGTACTTCCCATGTGCCATTTCGGTCTCAGCTTCTATGTTCTATGTTTCTGAACCCGACAACGATTCTTCAATTGAGTGTGTATACCGAATTTAAATATGGCGACCAATTTGAACAACTATTGTTCTGCACTGACTAGCGGCATGACTTGCCTCTCATACATGTGAAAACGCTCTTATATTTCCACGTAAACGCGAGGCTAGTCAGTGCAGAACAATGGTTATTCAAATTGGTCGCCATATTTAGATTCGGTGTATAATAATCTCCTTCGCTTGGAAAATGCGTGCATGACATCACCTAACTTTTGCTTTTGGCCCTACAATGATATAATTTATACACACCAAATGCTACTTTTAGGGTCAAAGCACTGAGGTAAAATACTTTTAAATCCTTTGACTGTAGCCTCAGAGACCCGGTCTAGCATGGTTTGTACGTTAATGCAAGTGATAGTCTGCACCACTGTTTGTTTTAAAAAACATTCAAATATCCGAAACAATTACTAAATAGCCAAAATTTAAACATGATGTACTGGAAAAAATCCCTAGAAAACAATTTTCGCGTTTCAGCAAAAAGCAGCAGCATTTTTTTCAAATAAAATTTTAAACATTTTTACTTACCACAGGAACTCCAACAACCAGATTTACAACAAATTTGTTTGCCTGGTTCACAGTCTGAATCAAACATACATCCTATCATACATTTTCCTTCGGGTGGGTGAAACTTGACGGGGCATTTTGCTGTAAAGATTGAGTTGAGAAAGATTTAGATTTTCTGGTTTTCCTTAGCTTATTTCCATTTATTTTTTAAGAAATTTAAGGCAACTTTCTTTATTTGATTATTCAGTGTCGTATTTTAATTCTTTCCCACCAGGCAACCTTCATCTTACGTCAGCAACATCCATCTTTTATCAGATGAGATGAGAATAGGAAAATCTCATAACACTCAACAATATTCCCAAACAAAATTAGATGTCAAATGATCATAATGAAGATATTTCATTATCTTCATCATTATGATTGTCATTTAATTGCGTTATTATAATGCAATGGCAGCAAACAAATTAAGAAGAAGAAAAATTGCTTTGAACTGTTCTAGTAGGAATTTGTTTTTTTCCAATGATTGATTCATTATTAATATTTTTAATTACTTTGTTATGAAAGAAACAGAAATGATGTCATGCTACGTTATGTCATGGAATAAACACTAGGAAACAGTACCAAATTAAAGAAATTTGACTAACAATGCTATTAAGTTTCGATATGAACTTCTTTGATTCCCAAGGCCACCCAGAAAATGATAAAGCCATGGGCTATGTTTTAAACGAGAAAAAACTTAATCGCTTTATATATTCTTTAATTTTGGCAGATAGATTTCGCGCACAAGGAGCTATACTGAGCTCGTCAAAATATCTATAGTAATAAAGAAAGTGATTATCAGACTCATACATTTTTTTCCTGAAAATTTTAACATACAATCTATTCTTCAATGTATGTGCTGCATACTTTCATAACACCTATAGAGCTACTAGTAATACTATAGATTCCAACACCGTTCAGGGATGCTTTTAATGGGACACCTAACGTTTGGTAAAAAGTTAAAGAAGAAAGCCTTTGATAAGGAATGGAAAGTGTTGTGTGTGTGTGTGTGTGTGTGTGTGTGTGTTTTCAGTGCTTGTTTTTAATTTGTGCGAGAAAGATTAACTGTGATTAACGAGCTGTCAGCAAAAACTTGCATAGCGACGTTCCATTATCACTGATATTTGTTTTCTTTCTCAGTAGACAAAAGTTGGTTTCCATAGTGCTTTAATTCATGTAATGGAAATTCTCTTAGGAAATGCAGAATTTTTGTACATGAGGATATACCTAATAAGTTATTCACTACACTGGTTCATGCCGTAGTTTTGGTTCGTAAATTTTATTAATAATTTTTTTGGGGGGGAGGGGGGTATCTTTGTAAGGCTTTTATGAGATATTTGCAGAGTTCTGAGAGATGCTCGCTTCTTGACAGTTGTGAGAGGTTTCTACTAGCACGACTAACGCAAGTGAACCTTGCGGTTAAATGCTTGTAGAAGTTGCTTAAGCCTTTCAGTGGCGGATCCAGGGGGTCGAAGGGGTCCACGGAGCCCCCCTTGAAGGTTTGATCTTTTAGGTAATAGAAATATGTCTTGTGTGGGATTTGCTTGAAAGTATCCACAAAGATAATGTTGAACACGAAATGATAGATATTTGCTGTTATAATTTACCTTTAAGTTCCGTTACTAGATAGTAAATTAGGTGATTTGAGCCAATTTTTTTGTCAAACATCGACTAAACAAAAGAGAATTATACACAGTTTAAGAAACGGAACCCCCCTTTGAAAAATCCTAGATCCGCCACTGCCTTTAGGCAGTTTTGCTTAACTGCTCTTAAATATTCTCTATATCTTTTTCATTACGTTAATGCCCCGATATGGTCATATCTCTATAACAGGAAGTGCGCCAATATTTTTGAACAGCAGAGCATGGAAAGTTGTAAATGTCACGATTTTCRTACTCGTATCGCATCGTTACAGTATATATCACGTCTTTGCAATTTGTAGGCATTTCTTACATAAATTACTCCTTCCATTACTCCTAAGTAGTATAGCGTAGTACTCGTATATGAAGGCTATTCATCGACTAAAGACGAGTATTTAAGCAGGAAGTAATTCACATCAGCCGAAAAGGCATGATAAATGGCTTATTCAAGATACTAGTCAATGACTACTAGAAGTTCATTGTCTTGCTTTTAATAGGCCACTCGCGCTGGATTTTTACACACTTGCGCACTTCAAACTGAGCCCTTAGCACACATGCATCGAGCTAGACCACATGTTCAATTAGAGATAATAAAAGTGGACGAGTACATTTATTGATATTGGTTGAGCTTTGCTTTTACCACATATAGAGCTTTGACGTTTTTCTTTTTAATCTTGGATACCAAAGCCCACAGCTTTACGGGTATCAAAGATAATAGCATTCAACATTTACGACAGGAAGTATTATGAGAGAAGTTGAAATTTTTCATTGAAATTCATGCACGTATATAATGGCAACATTGTAGTGCATCGAACACCAGGCTGTGTTATAATAAATACAATATACCAGAAGGTACCGTGTTAACAAGCACGGCTTGTCTAGACAGTATGTTGATGGCTAAGATGCGCGTAGTTTCGGAAAATTACATGTAAAGTGTGGTTGGTATAAAAGGTGCGCTGGAGCAAAACTCTTAAGTCTCAATCAGAGCATTTCTCTCACTTTTTAAATAGTACTATTCATTTCAATTTTCATTTTTACAGCAAAACCTAATTATTTTTACTCTAGGCATTTTAATCGATTTTTTAAAAGTTTCTGAAAAAATTAAATAAATTCAGTGATTCTGAAGCCTGAATCATCTTCTAACGTTTCACGTGTTAAAGTGTATTGCAGATGCAGAGAAGCGAAACGAAGTCCAAATGCATCTTAATGCTTTATTTCTCACGCTTTTGTCACCTGCAGTACTATCACCCATATAAGATGGCCATTAAGGCTATAATCTTCTTAAGCACTGATTGTACTCTTAATTAATGGAGCGGTAATATTGATGTCTTTGTTGCTAATTATTGAGCTCAGTGGACCCCTCTTTCGCCGATTGTCCATGACAAGTCCCTAGCAAAAAGTTCTCAATCAAAGCCAGCGCTTTTTGACACTGTGATTTTTCCCCCTTCAAAAAACATTTGACATTTTTTYCCCTAGAAGCTAATTAGACAAACGAGGGAAAGCTTAAGTTTTAAGAAGAAGAAAATTTAAGTTTTCTTTGAAAACGTAATGAAATGGCAGAACCAAAAGCAAACTAATTGAAAATGTAGTCGATCATATCTAGCCGGCATTGAGTGGCTGTTTTACACATCGATAGTTCTAGGAATATTTAGTATTATTGTATCTTTAAATAGACTGTCAAGGCTTGGAACCTTTTTCCTTTCTATTATTTTCCTTTTTTTTTTTTTTTTTTTTTTTTTTTTTTTTTTTTTTTTTTCTTTCATTTTTTTCTCAAAAATCTATATCAATAAATTTCAAGTTCGACGTACTTGGCATAAAGATCCAATCTTCAATGCCAATTTTCCTTGTTCAAACAGATACGTGATGGCAATGACAACCATCGGGCCAGCTTCATCTAAAGACATAACATAAAAAAAATCTCGATAGGAGCAGATACGAAGCCAATTATGAATACAATGTTTAATTCAAACGAAATAGTAGCTAAGCAACTTGCTTTGATAAAGTACTGGATGCATGTATACTTTAGAAGGAGATCGTTACTATGGGCCAATTTTCACAAGTACGTTGCGCCGACAAACCCTGCAATGTCAAGGTTCTCTGAATCATTAAAAAGACACACGTCTAATATCTCAAAGAATCCGTAAGCTGTATAATAAGGAGCGCTACATTGCTTGCCATACAATATTACTTTTTCTTAAATCCTAAATTAAACAAGATCATTTTCGTTTATGAATATTTTTGGTGGGAAAAAGTTGATTACTCTTGATTAATCATTAGCTGAGAGTTAAAAAAAAGGATTTTTCCATCGCATCTTGCTGCTTAAACATCTTTTATCCCTCAATAAATCAATAAAGATAACTCGGGAATTGTGTCAGGTTAATGATTTCTCGAAAATAATATGTGCAATTTTTCACGGTTATCAAAATTCTAATATATCTTAAAATTGGTAAGACGATCCGATGGAACCAAACGGATTAAACCAGAGGAATACGTTCTAGGGTAAAGCTGAAGTACCTTGCGCAATCTTTTAATAAAGTATTTCGATATTGGAGATCGCGTGTGTTTAGAGTCCAAAAAATAAAGAAGATATGATTTAGTGCAATGACAGGACTCTTCTTAAATATCGTGTTATTAATTGCATTCTCAGTCACACTCAATAGTCGAGAAATACGAATTGCATTGGTTTTCTTTAAGAGATATTCAAGATGTGATTACGCGGGGAAAAAATCGTGAATATAGCTAGTCTCTGGTTGTTCATTAGTGATTGGTACCAGTTGACCACCGCATACAAACTAATAAGCACTTAATTTTTGTACAATCTTCAAAAAAAAAAGGGACGATAAACTAATGCAAGCAAACTCCCCCGCTTAAAGTATATATAYAATAGAGAGAGCGGGATAGGGTTAATCAAAAACGTAGGCAGTACTTTAGAAGTATGAGAGAATCGGTTTGGAGGCTGAATTAGAGGTCATCGGGGCGAAATGACTGCGAAATGACTCATGTTACGCTAAATGAATAAGAAACACTCAACTTACCAGCTGACGGTCTTGTGAGAACGTAGATCAGAAACTGTGCAAAACAGACAAAAATAAAAATAAGACTTTACGCTATTATTTTTCGCTGACAAATTCTGAGAAGTGCATGGCGTATTTGTATTAACCCGCAGCCTTACCTGTAGAGCTAAAGCCAGAGAGAGTTGCATCTTTCTCCAAACAAAATATTCTATGGCTGATTGAATCTGTTCTTAAGCGAAGATGTCGCAGTTGAAGTCAGTAGCGTTAAATGGATATCCACTGAGAGTTACGACTTTTCTCAGCGCCATAGTCATTTGCAGTCCATCAAATAAGCTTTCAAGGTAGAAATTGCCAGGGCTGTATAACTTTCAATTATAAATAGCTTTTAACCGGCGTCAAATCGACCAATAGAATGCCGTGTTTCCGAACAAAAACAGGTGTACGACAAATACCGCTTATTAATACGAAGGCAAAGTTGCTAATTTTTACGTCGTAAATATTAATAACGAGTAAGGTTAACTGAACTCTCCTAGGAACAAATGTCACTTGTGAGGTCTTTCTTATGTTGTATTTACGGCCACTTATATTGACCATTTTGAGCGTGGACCAATATCGCTTTAGGGTGACTTAATATGACATCGTTAGCCGGCGTGCTTAAGTTTATATCTTGCCGTGCTACTGTAGCTAAAGTGAACAAGACTGAAAAAGCAAGCGCCAATGGCAAAATTAATTGATGTATCCCTTTATCACTGCAAAACTTAATGCTGGTTGAGGTTCTTGCTCAAATATTTCTAAGTCCTTTTATAGAATGTTATGTAACAGTTTTAGGTCTCTACTTGAAGCTTGAACGACTGCATTATTTGACATATTCCGTTCAAAGGCAGCAACTCGAACTAGCAATTACTAAGTCCTTTAGCAATACGTGCAATAAATGCAATAGTGCTAGTTGTATAGAATGTAACTGTAGAATGAGAGTTATTGAATCCAACATTTGGGATCTAAAAGATGGCAATTCTCCAATTCAAAATCCCTCTTAAATTGACCACAACTTTGACACCAATTATTTATTAAATAGTGGCAAATAAAGTTTCCTACATCTACCACAATCATAAACCTCTAAATTTGCGAAATGTAAAATGATACATTCCGGGAGAATTATTGAATGGATTAAGGAGATTTCTGGTGGTTCATTCAGTTCTGCCTGGCATTAAACCATCAAACCATCGCCGGCCGGCGTACACAGACGTTTTCAATTCCATCCATTTTTCAAGGTGTAAACGAATAGGACGAAAAATGTAACAAACCCAGGCATTTTTATTTAAATGAAATAATTATTTCAAATATCATTGTTGCATTTATATATTTGCATCGGTAGAAAAAAAAGGTCTTAAAATTCAAAATAGGCCTTAAAATTATTTCTTACAGAGTTCATGTAATCGGTTTAAAGATTCAAATAGTTTAAACTGAATCGGTATCAGTCATCATGTCTACTTTTTTCAATTGATTCCTATATTAGTCCCAGTAGTCCACATAAAGATAGAACTATGGTTTTATTGGTCTGGTAGATTTAAAAATTTGGAAAACCAATTTTAAAAAACACACTTTTTTCTTGGAACGTGGTTTTTTGATGACGTATCATGTATGTGTATATATATATATCTACTACTGAAGCATGTAGATAGACATTGGACTGAAGCATTGATACTAATTCATTAATTATTAACTATATAATCATTAATGAGAATTGCATCATTACCGGCTTTCGTACTACAGTCAGTGATAAACACGAACGTGCTATTATGCATGAAAATATCTTGTCTGATGAGAAAGACTTGTCGTCTTCTCTTTGACAAATATTCAGTTTAGTGTCATTAAAGAAAGTATACTATGAAAACCAGTAAACCGATTACGGCCTTGAGCAAATGGTGCATAGAGACTGACACAAACTTCGAACGAAAACGCAACATTTTAAAAATGAAGGGCACTCTTAGTCCGCCCTTTTGCTGTAGGCGTTAAGACTCTCTCGGCCACTTCTTTCTCCGTAACTAAAACAACAGGTTTTTATTTATTCTTTCAACCTTGGTTTTGAATATTCACTTTAAATGCTTAGAAAAAAGACTTTTTCTGTTTAAATTAAGTCTTCTTTCGCCGTCGTAAGTCTTGGGACTTTTCCATATTGCTCGTGATCACGTGCCTGTTTTTCTAAGTCACTCTTTCCAATTGTCCTATGAATTTTAAAGCAAACTATCGCTTGCTGTGATTGATCGCTATTTCTCTTATTAGCACAGTTTTTTATTCTCAACAGCATTAATACAATAGAGGGTTCAGTTATTTTTTTCTGATTTCAATTTATTCATAGTGCGTTGTTGCCGCAAAGGAGGAACCCCGCCGAGTCTAGATCTTCTACCGTACTTGTTCGTATAATTTCACCTTGGGAGGTTTATCCACAGACCCGTATTTGGCGCCACCTATCTATACTACTCATCCATTCAAAATGGATTTCGAAAAGTGGTAATCCTAGATTTCATAAGACTCAAAGCAAAACAACGTCGAAGTGACTAAGACCGTAATTTTTTTTACGTCAGTATATCTAAGCTGGAATCGGACGTGATAAGATTACAGTATATAATATCACTTGAAAAATACAATGAAAGAATCACAGGAATAAAAATTCATTATTCATATGCCTCGAGTCAAACTAGCTGGGGTTTTTCCAGAAAACAAAAAAAGATATAATGGTTATCAAAATTAATGCTGTTAAAATGCAAACTGTACGTGCTCAACGTGGAATTATTTTGTTTCTTATAAGCAGGTGTTTATGTAACTAAGTTAACCACAATTCTGATTTTTACCATCAAATTATGGAAACCAATAACAAAAATTGAACTGTGACGCTTGGCAGGGGAGGGAGGTAACCGATATCTGTAATTCTAACTAAGTAAAYGTACATGTCAGTAAAATCTGGGATCTCTCTTCCCTATGTACACATGTAATTTAGTTATTAAAACGTTAAGCATTAAATAAACATTAAAGCAAACTAYGAGTCAGTGGCAGTAAAAATTAATATTGAAAAACTAATTTTCAAATGTAATTTGCATGCAAAATATTAATCGAATATTTAGTGGGCAACGTTAATGATATTAATTTCACGTTATTAGTATTATGAAACTGCCACACCTGAGCTTGGCGCCAGGGTTYTTTAATATCACTGATTCTTTCCTGGCTCAAAATACAAAAAAGAGAATCACTATATTTTTTTACTGAAAACAGGTAAATAACAAATATATGTTTAGTCATGTATCAAAATAGAATAGGTGTTATATGGGAAAAAAGGTGTCAGAGAAAGTCGTTTTATCTTTGTATCTGGTTATGAGGATAGTGATGGTTTATGGAAACTAAACATATATGCATTATAGCTTATTTTGGAAATTTAAGAATAAACTGATCTTATTTGACAAAACTCTACAGCGTCTCTGTTTATTTCCTGTTATTCGGAAATAGGATTCTTTGAGGGGTCGAACCCATTTCTATACATTTCAATCAGTTTTCAAAAATGTGAACCTACAAAACTCGAAGCCTAATTGAAGTGTGATGCCTTGTTGTCGAAGTGAAAAATATGACCTTCACACGATTATCGAAATTTCAGTTGCACTACCACGGGTTTAATTATGGCCTGTAGGGACACAATTCAGGAAAAAGTTAATATAGAAACTGAATTAATACGCATGGTTTCAGGATTACATCAATTGCTAGTCAGTTCGGCAAATATCACTGAAGAAGCCATTCACTTTGAATACATACATAATAAATATATAGATATTATTTTTTTWATTAGATACTTAGAGATACAAGGACCGCTGCCAGGGGTGATGAGTGGGTAGAGGCTTTCTGACTCTGCTCAGTTGTGAGATAGTGGATATGAGTGGATATGGTAGTTAGGCCTTGCCCATGCCCCAAAGGAAGAGAACTAAGAAGATATTCAGTTGGTTAGCACAGTCAAGCTTTATTTCTAGCTTTTATTACCATATATTCGAAATCCATGGAAAACTTTAAATCGTAAAAAAGCTGTAATATGAATAATGATCACTTTTAAATAAGAGAAAAAGCTTGAAATAAGAGATGAATTTTAATAGATAATTCACGTAAGAAGTTGTTGGCAAAGAAACACTGAGTCAGATTTTTTTTAAATTTTGCACCCGGCTTCCTTACTCTTTGTAGTTGTAGCTGAAAACTGATAGCTGAAGTGAAAGAAATTTGCGGACATAACTTACTTAAACGGATTTTTTAAATTCAATTTTTTTTGTCTATAAGCTAAGCTTCTGATATAACCAAACAATGAAAAAACGACAGCAAGCTGAACGTACTAAATATGAAGAGAACATGAAAAACCTTACAAATTCTTCCAAAAAAAGATTTTATATATAAAAACTTACCATGTACCAATAAGTTTGATTAATTATGAAGAAATTCGGTAAGAGAACGCCGGATAACGTTATAAAAATGCAATAATTATACTCACCAAAGTTTTCTGTCTTTCTAAACCAGAGGTCCGGTAAACATGACAAAATCGCCACAGAATAACTGCAAAAACGCCTCTCAGAAGAAAAAAATTGGCGGGAAGGTAACGCGCGCGCGCTTAAAAGCGCGGGAAAAGCAATATTATATGGTGGGCTTCCTGTGCTTCCTCACGTTGGATGGTTTGAACAGAGAACAGGCTACCTAGACTATATATCCTTTAGCCCATGAAAGACAATGATATTTGCTTTAATATCAACTTCCAGTGGATCCATAAAGGTTTGTAAATATTTATTAAGCTTTTTTTGAAAAAAAAAGTTTAAAATTTGTGAAAATGTCACTGTCTTTTAAGTGACCTGGGCAGCCTGTGAATGAGAGTTTTTTGTTGAAGTCTCTTAGTCGATTCAAGAGGTTTTCTCCTGAAAAAAGTTAAGCCTTTGATCTACATCTGTGAGTTTTGTGTCCTCAATCAGCTTTATATTGTGTCCTCAATTAGCTTTATAGCTAAATATTTTGACACGGTAATAAAGTTTATTATTATTATTAGTTATCCATGGCTGAACTTTTGTTATTTATCTCAGTTTTTTTTGTAATGTATTGTTATTTTGGTGACGAACTCATTAAACTATTAAACTAGAAGTTTTTTCCGAACCTTAAACAACTGAAGGTTTTCAGTTGAAAACTTTATCTCAAACAGGTCCATTGTTCATTCATCCCAGGGAGCCCTTCGATTTCCCATAATTCATTGGCCGCTCGAAAAACAAGATGGCGGATGAAYGTTGTGTGTTGGAGGTAATATTTTTTACTATATTTTATTCTTTTGTTTTATGCTTACGGCTTAGTGGATTCTCTAACAGAGAAATAAACTTTGAGTTTCTTTTATGCTTGAGCCAGATGGAATGCTTTAAAAAAGGAACATATAAGAAAACGCGCGACTTATCAAACTTTACATGCTAGAAAGGACATTCAATATAGTCACTAGCTTATCAAACCCGTGACCTTCCGGTTACCTGTCGGATGCTCGAAAAGAAAAAAAGAGTTTTGCAAGATTTCGCAAAAAAAAAAAATGTCCATGAGGAAGGCAGTGTATTCGATTCTCATATATTTACCATCAGGAAGGTGGGATTTAAAAAATAATAATTGCTTATTTTGTTGAGGGGTTATATTATCCCTCCGACACCAAAATAACCAACCCCTCCCCCCTCTTGGTTTTCATAATCTTGATTTGAATAAATTTTTTCAACAATATTGACTTGGATAAAGTACAGCAGACATTGACACAGCATTGACATTTACGTTGACATGATAGTGCTGGAGCCTCACTAGTATATGAAATTAAATTGAATAAGCTTATAACCTTTTTCAACAGGGTGGCTGTAAAAGTAAAAATGGATTGGATGTTACAAATAACGGAATTATTGCACCAGAAAATTTATCCAAAACACCCAAATTTACTTATTACCAAACAAATCTTACAACATTTTGTCAACCATGGCCAGAATCAAACACCACAAAGTCACAGCAATTCACAGAGGTACTTTATAATATATAATTTTAATTAGAATTGTTTGTTGAGTTGATTGTTGTGAGTTGTAAAAAGAATAGAAATTAGACACTCCTTTCATGCTTTCATTACTTCCTGTATGCTGATATCTGTTCTTTGTTATAGCATTATATTGTACAGTAAAATGTTTTTTTAATAAAAAGACGAATACTAGAAGATTACAACGTTTCAACATTATCATTATCAAGTAAAGTGATGGAAGAATAATCAAAGTCCAAGCTAAACTGTTTTTGTTTTGCCATTATTTGCAGTTTGATAACATGTTAAGAACATCTTGGTCTAATGCAATGTCATTGGGATGCTTCAAATATAACCTGGACAGCATGAAAACAAAAGTTGTGCCAGGAAGTTATAAGCTTGTTGCACAGTTAAATGAGAAGCGCTTTGTTCAGAGACGAAAACCTCAAAAAATGTCAAGTGTTTCACAGCCATTTGATGMCTCTAAGTTCAATTTTACTAAAATTGCAAATAAAGAGGTACATTACTCTACATAATATAGATATAATAATGTAATTTGATAATTCCAATTTGATCTGGTGTTGTAAAGCTTAAATATGAACCTCTGGCGCTGAAGACTAAGCAATCCCTGCATGTTTGACTTAAAATCATGGGGGGGGGGGGGTACTCCCATATATGGACTATACGGGGATGATCTGCTGAACAAGGGTATGGTTTTTCGACTTCTTGTCATAAACAGGGTATGCAATTTCACTCAAGTTCCAAGTTCTTCCTGAGTTTCCTGTCATATTCAGGGTTTCTACTTTCCTATTGACCAAAACTGGTTATTATGGTCGTAAAAAAACGATACGCGAGATGACATGATAATTGAAACAGGAACTTAGTGCAATTAATTATATCTTTTGTCATGAACAGGGTCTACAAATTTGAGTTTTTTTGTCATAAACAGGGTACCCCTTTCAGAATCCCAGCGGAACACCCCTACCCAAATTCTGGCGGAGTACCCCACCCGGGCTTAAAATAAATTAGATTTACTTTTTTGCCCATACACATGACAAAGTATCTCAAAGTCTGACAAGACACTGTCATAACATGACCATTTTTTAAAGAAAGACTATTTATTTAACTTTTGTTTTTCTCAAATCAGGGACTATTTTGTTGTAAGAAATAATTATGTTTAAATATATTTTGATCGGTATGTGTTCTTAGATATTATTCGAAATGTGTGCACTGCACCGACCGTCCTCAGATACGAATATTATGGTAATAAATGTCAGTCCTTTAGAGTTTGGCAACTCTCTCCTGGTGCCCACTATTAACTCAAGATTACCACAGGTAAATAATTGTGCAATACAAAGGAATTGTCCAAAAGTAAATCTTGTCAGCGTCTAGTAATAATTTTAGAAACATACCTGTCCATCACTCCACCATTCCTCTCCCATCAATATGTCTAACAATCCCCTTCTCCACCCCACCCCACCTCTCTCCCTTCACTACTATCACAGATCTTCAATTTATAATATCATGTTCAACCACTTATCCAATTACTCTTTGTTATTCTTTTGGATAGTGAATCTATTTATTGTGTTTCCTTTTACTTAACCAGATCCTAACAGTAGATTCCATTGAACTAGCATTTGAAACATCATTACTGTCTTCACACAGGTAAAGGGAAAAAATATATCTAAATAGAAACAATACACTCTGTAGACAATGTTTCGTATGTATTGAGATAAAAAGATAAGATCTAATCACTCAGTAGCCAGCATGCTTGCTAATCATCCTTTTATTATCTACCCATTCATTCATTCATTCATTCATTCATTCATTCATTCATTCATTCAAATTATCTTACAACATATTTTCTACATTTATATTTTATCATACACTATATAAGTTAATACATAAATAAATACTGCCAACCAAAACTTTAGCTACATTGTATCAGATTAGTATAATTATGGGATGAAATGTTAATTTTTCTATTTTTTTATRTTTTATCAGAGGCTTTCACACTGGTTTCAATAGCTTGTGTGCCTTTGCTTCTGTCAATCATCTTCATTTTCATGTCTGGTATTTGGACTATCCTACACCTTTGGAAAGCATTGTAAGTAATCTGACATAGAAGTCACTTCCGGTAAATATCTGGGTCTTGACTAGGGGACAATTGACATTTGGAAGCTTAGAGGATGACCGAGGTTTTATGTGTATCTTGATTTCTGGTTTAATGCAGTAGAAATAGTAAGGTACAACATTTTGAGGACTTATTTTCACATCTTTTGATTTAACAGTCACTAGCTGCATATTAATTGACCTCCAGTCAATGTCAAAAAGTCAGTCACGTGATTGATAGTAAGCAATTTCAAAATACGATGTTCMTTATTTTCATCTAAAATTGTACAAGTTTTGCGCTTTGATTTCTTGCAAATCCGCATCACCTTTTAGGGAAAAATTAAAATCGACTTTGTAAATCAAACAGCCAATGTCATGAATATTGTCCAACGAAAAAGACATTTAACCACGAGAAATGTCACGTGATACCAAATACACCCGCTCTAAATACTCGTTACCAGCACTCATTGTATACTTAGAGTTCATACTTATTATTCTTTGTTCATTTAATCGTTATAAAGTTTAAAACCATGATCTATATTGCTCAAAACGAATAAACAGATTATCACTTAACATTCGTTGTAGTGTCTCTATTTTAGCTGGACAACGATAATGATTATTGACTGTATTTAGGAATTAAATGTCACGTTCATGCACTAGCATACACTTGTTTATCACGTTTATCACGGTTAGCTATCTAGATGCACAATCGTTTCTATCTTTTCTAGATTTATTTATCAGGTAACTAAGCAACTATAATATACTATAACTGAGATACTTGATGAAAAATATCAAAATCATTATAAATATCAAAATCAATGGCGGGTTATATCACGCACTTGTTTTTCACGTCATGAAAATCTTCGTTATTTCCCATGCAATGGTGGTTGAACTTGAAATGATAACAATCTTTATTGAGGGAAGCTCTTTCACAAAAGCGAGTTTCAAAGATGCCCTAATATAATAAAACTRAATATATAAAGTATTAAATAAATATGAAAATAGGTTAAAAAGTTAAAAAAGAAGAAGTAATATAAAATAAGTATACATAAATATATGAATAATTAAAATAGTTATTATTATAGCTATGTAGATGAATATCTAACAAATATGTTGTAAACTCTATTATATGTTTATGTAATCTAACCAAAGTAATTTTCTAAATTCTTTTAAATTTGGGGCATTTCTTACAGAATTATCTAGATTGTTCCATTCATTCGCCGCATGACACTTGACATTGTTTACGTTCATTTTTTGTTCGTTACGTTGCTATTTGTCTGTATTCCAATACCACACCAACCATACACACTAACCACTGCCGACAAACCAAACAAAATACTTCAACCAAGTGCCAAAATACGAGTAATAGTTGACCTTGACGTTGAAGGTATTTACGTTTTTGTACTTTACATAAATCTCTCACTGAGATGTTTTATTTGTTTTCCAGTAAGATTAAAACTAATATTTATATTGGGTGACCTTGACCTTGTTTGTCACAAAATGTTATGTTTTTTGGTTGCTACGATAATTACATCAGTGTAAGAGGTCGTTTGGACGCAATTTAATAACACTATTTTTTAATGCGTGTTTTCTTTCTTCTATCCATTAAAAAAATGGATAATTACACTTTCTATCCTAGGCTTCAGAGGTTTTTTAGTTCGCTTCATCGCCGGAGCTAGAATATTTAAATAACTTCTGGACCCCAGGGTTCTAAAAATTCCTCTCCCCGTTTCGTTTTTGTTTGTTTGTTTTGTTTGTTTTGTTTTGTTTTTATTTTGTTGTTTTTTTTTTTTTGTTGTTGTTGTTTTTTTTTTGTTGTTGTTGTTTTTTTGTTGTTGTTGTTGTTTATTTTTCTTGTTCTTTTTCTTCTTTTTTATTATTATTTTCTTTTAATCGGTTAGTTTATTTCGATTTGACTTTATCTTTGTTAATTCTTATTCTTTACTCCAGACCCTGAAGGCAATTTCTAATGACGTATACGAAGTAACCAACTACCCAACAAGGCTGTTCGTGTTCTTGTTACAAGATCCTTCAGAAATACCACGCCTCTCAAGGTGAATCTCTCAAGCAAATCCGAAGCAAAGAAAATATATCAGTTTTATCGAGCCATGAAAAAAAACTTTTGAGCTGATCTAAATCATAACACGGCTAAGTTACAGCGGGTCGAATTGGAAATTGTATTGGTTGTTCTAAACCCAATAAACTATATAGAGCAGTTTTAGTAGTCGATGTCGTGCCGTCACTGTGATGTTTTCTAGAATTTAATTAGGTAATTTTTCTCGCCCAATGTGATTGGTCAGGCAGTTCCGTGACCTTGGCGTGTCTGTGTCCGCACCGTGAAGAGTAAATTAGTCTCGCGCAATGTGATTGGGCTGGTATATGCCTCGCCGCTTTTCACAGTCATACGAAAACTGCTCTATGGGCTTTGAATAGATAGCCATAAGGAGGAGTACCTTCATCCGTATGCTTCTATCTAGCTCTTCTCTCTACCGTATCAAGGGTGGGGTAGCGGTATTGCATTCTCTTCTCTGAGGTCTCGGGTTCCTTTAAAACCATTACAAAACACTAGATTGCAATCCGATCTGTGTGTTAGCTGTGTCCTGACTTAGATCAGTCCAGAGGTTGTTCAGGGTTCGATCTGTGTGTTAGCTGTGTCCTGACTTAGATCAGTCCARAGATTGTTCAGGGTTCGATCTGTGTGTTAGCCATGCCCTGACTTAGATCAGCCCAAAGGTTGTTTCAGGGTTCCATCTGTGAGTTAGCCGTGCCCTGACTTTGATCAGCCCAGAGGTTGCTTCAGGGTATCGATAAAATTTGTTTTCTTCGTCTTTTATCATAAAAAAAGTTTTCTGTGTCGGGATCCCTTTCTTCGTTCTCAGTCTCTCTCTCTCTCTGGTCACATTTATATAGACCCCTTGCACTGAGTCCCGAGAGGAATTGTTCTGGGGGACAATACAATGAATTCTTTTTGCATAAGAAAAGACGGCCTATTGTTTTGACCCCCAGAATTAACACAATCTAGGAAATCACTGCCAGGGATCTATATATATACCACAGGAAGCCCTGAAGAGAGAGACTACTGCAGAGAAGGCTAGAGGTGTGGCTCATCTACTAACTTATAGTGACTATTATTATTGTTTTCCAGAAAAATCCATAAAATTACATCTCATTTTGTGGATAATGAGGTGGCCCATAACTTGCTGATTTTACGAGGAACTGATGACGTAATAATGGATGGATCTTCGCAACGCACTAGTGTACGGGTCTTTCTCTGGCCTCGACAACCCGTTGTTGGTAAGTTAAGAAGATTGATAGGAATTATTGACCGAGCGCGTGTTTCAAATATCCGGTGGATATTGGACGAGTTCTCCTTTTGATTTTTTTATGGTCGAAGCAGAAGACGAACAAAAGACGAGGTTTAAAAATAACAAGAGCAATAGAGTTTTCAGTGTTGCTTTCTTACGAACTTCACAAAGCAGGTGCATGCGCGCGAATGGTATCGCCGCTGGGTTTCGTTCGCTATAGCATACTGAGTTCTCGACAAATCAGAGCGCGTAACGAGGTGACTATGTTCGGATAATTAAAACAATTTTAGCAGAATTTTAGACTTGAATATAAGAGAAAACACAAAATTCAGGATAAAACAAAAAAATATATATATTTAAGTGTTAAAAACGTTTTAGTATTACTTCCGTTCTGGCAAAGTGAATCAGAATCACTTATCGATCGACCAATCATGGCGCGCCAAACTCCTGATATTCCAAAACTATACTAATCAGTTTTGTTCCTCTGTCTTTGAGATTAGGATTGCCAAGCTGCATGCGACGTTGCATGCGACGTTGCATGCGACGTGGCAGAAGTAGATGTAATTTCTTCCCCAAAAACAGTCTTTTCCAAGCAACGTCGCAGACCGATGTCGCATTGTGTGTTCGCACGTTAATATGCTTGATTTTATCTTTGCTGCAGGAGCGAAGGATGAGAGTATGTTTAATATTGCTGTCTGTGAACTTGGTGGTCATCTACCAATCAGAAGTAAGAAAAAATTGAGATATTTTACTTGGAAAGCTTATTAAGAATTGACATCGCATCGGTAATAAAAAAGTTCGCCATGTTATGAGCTAAGATTCCACCTTATTATTTTCATTATATTGAGAGGATGTTATTTTTTTACTTCTTTTGTTCATTTTGACACAACGTGTTTTAAAGAGTTCGAGTCTCGTGTCCCTTTAGTATGTTGATATGTTTAAGTTTCATGGACCGAGTCCGTTAAGGGTGAAAAATGGGGTTTATAACCCCCCACCCCCCTTATATTTTTGCAGCAAAATTCGGTCAATGCCCATTCCCCTCCAATATTTTTGGCTGAATCCGCCCCGCCCCTGAATTTGTTTGATTTCTCGTGTTTCAGCCGCTGACCAGTATGACAGAATTACAGAACAAGACTTCTGTGAGCAGTTGAAGAGCGTTACCCTACAAAACGAAGAGTTTGAAAAACTCAAACATTTTGTTGCTCAGGCCTAAAAATCACATACAAAATCATATATCCCAAGATCACGGTAGGGCATGTGGAATCGTACAATGAAAATTTCGAATATATTTAAGTGGGAATGATGATGATGATGATAAGTTTATTTAAAATCGGTGTTTCAGGATTGTTTACGTCCCTAGCTAATAAAAATGCTAATATGCCGAGAATAAATAAAGAAAAATAAGAAAATAGAAAATTAAAGCCGGAATTTAATACTACGCTAAAACTACTAAATAATTATCTTTCTAAACGTTAAATTATGATTGATGAATCTTAGTTTAGCACGAAAGGTGGAAATCTCTCCAATTCGTGAATTGTTCAAACAGTTGCAACACTGTATGAAAGTGATATTTAATATTTTAAAATCGATACCAATTCACAAGCCTGTGAACGGTTTACAAATAAATTATTATACATTTTACCAACTATCTCGCTTCTCATTGGCCGAGAGCCCTCAGCCAATCTATGATATCGTGTGAACTCGACATTATAAATGTATTATCTGTAGGTTTCCCTTAATGTAGTGGTAGTGCGTGTGAGCGAAACGTGTCCCCAATAAGTGCGAAAGCGCTAGAACGACTAGACACTTGAATAAAAGTGATTTATTTATTTTTCTGTACAGATGATATCTTTATAAAATTCAATGATTTCCTTATATCATTACCTACGCAGCTGTTCTCTCAGTATCTGTCACGAGAACGGCTCCGTAGGAGGCTAGCCGGTTGGCTGATAAATTATTTGTAACTTAAAGAGTGTYCATATAGTCATCTTCGCCGTAAGGTTAGATTAAGCTAAAAATAGGTTCAAAAGCCATTTAAATACAGGTTACATGTTATACGATGAGGCTATTGGAAGGTCACGGTTATACAAATTTCCGGTAACGCTTGACTTTCGTAACCTGTTCCTGCCCAACATGAGTCGGGGTAAGTCATTTCCGGTCTTTTGATACTTAAGATCAAGTGGCGTCATTAAAGTGTCTTGCTGGAGCAGTGCACGCGATTTCTATTTTAATAACAGTATCTGTAATACCAGATAATCCTAATACTGATCCTTTTTGCCATATTACTAAAACAGATCATATTTTCAATTTTGCCTGAAGGAGTAAGCACCCCATAACACTATGTTTTCAATGCATACATGTCGGTGCACGTTTCCCCACTTGGTGGCAGTGTTAACCCTCCCTACTGCTTTTAGTGCTACTGGCTATAAGACATGTGGCTTGAAGATCGAAAAATCACTCGCAGTATGATCTTGCGCATCCCGCAAATAGCGCTAATGTGATAATAAAGTGCAGAACGGAATCTTTTACAAAACGCAAGTGCTGTCATGTTTTAAGATCGATTTTGGGAACTGAGCTTGAGCTATGTAATCCTCGATTGAAAAATGGATCGCTCAGTAACAACCGCACATACATTCATTGTGAGGACCGCTAACCTCCTCTTATTCCTGCTACTTGTGAACAAGAGCCATTGGCAAATCTGAAGGGAACCCCTTTTTGCGAAACTCTTGGCTGAAGTGGATTGGTGAGTAAGAACCTTGTAAAACCTGTAGAAATTTAGATAGTGACCTCTTTTTATTCCTGCTACTTGTAAACAAGTATGGGAAGAATGGTAATTGTTTAATCCGAAGGGAACCCATTTAGAAATATTCTTGGCTAAAGTGGATTGGTGAGTAACAACCTTGTAAAACTTGTATATATTGTAGGTAGTGATAACCTCACTTCAGAACAAGTAGAAAAGGAAGAGCTCCAGAAAAATCTGGAGGAAACCCCTTTTGAGATATTCTTGACTGAAGTGGATCGGTGAGTAACAACCTTGTAAAATATGTTGTAGGTAGTAACAAAATATTTTTATTCCTGCCACTTGCGACCAAGTATGGGAAGAATAGTATGCCTTTTAGGCAATGACGCCTTTATTCCATGCATTATTCGTGGACAATTGCAAAGAACATTTCACGAAGACAAAACTCGCTAAGGGACCATTGGCATACTTTACATGTTTTTAAAAGTAYTGCCGCACGGACATAACAGATCCATAGCAGTTTAATGTGATACTGATAATCTTCATAATGGGATTAAATATTAATGCCAGGGGTATACTCGCTTTGTACAAGTTGTAGGGGTGATGGGTTATCGGTTTTGAAAAAGACCCCTAAAGGGAACGCATAAAGTAAAAGAGCTGTTGATGCCATGTTGATTTCAACCCCTAAAAAGGAAAACCCTGTTCTTTCGTAATAAACTGTTCAATAAAAACTTTTGAGTTAAACCCCTAAGAGGTTCAAATAGAAAATATTTTAAACCCTATGAGACCACCGATTACCCCTTCCACTTGGACAAAGGAAGTACCATTCCCCCCACCCCCCTTCAACCCCCCCTACCTCCCATTACGCCCAAATCCCTAACCCCTACAAGGCCTAAGTGTCAATGAGTCAATTTGGTTTAATTATAGAACATCATATTCCATTTCGGTTTCACAAGTGTATTATCCTTCATACACCTTGTGAAGTATCTTATCTCTCAGGAAGCCGATGTTGACATATTTGTCTTCACAAGCAACGCTCTTTTCTTCACCTTATTGCATGTAATAATCATTTTGTTCTACTAGCCAATCCAGTGACTCTAGAGGCGAATTGATTATAGAAGGTGAAGACTAACGAAAGCCGGTGGAAGCTACGTTAGTTGAAGAGACGTTTGAAGTCGTCAAAAAAAAAGCAATTCACGAAGATGCAGCTCTTCATTTGTCTTGTGATTATTTGTGCTTTATGCCAACAAACTGTCGCTTTTCCTAAATCAAATGACACCACAACAAGAGCATCTGTAAATAGCATTACCGTTGTACAAGTGACGACCGTAAGAGTACCAACTACGCCAAGTACGACTAGCTTGAAGTTAAGCATCAATGATCCTCCAACTACTGATAGCACTCCTATAGAAGGTAAGGTTTATTTCTGTCAAAGGTTTTTTATAGATAATAAAGTGTAACTTTCTTGCTAAGCGACAAGATACGCCGTTGTCAATACTGCATTGCGCATTAAGATATCAATGAGTGGGATTATGAATGAGTCACTAAGTAAAGTAAGGTGAAATGAACAAACAAACAATAGTCGATGGTGATGTTGCTTGAGATACGTATTTTCAGCAATTTTTATTTTGCACTAAAGCGTCAATAACACAAAACGAAAACCAAAAAAGAAGATACCGAGCAAAACTGAGAACAGATGTGACGACGTAATACAAAGTCTTAATTAGGATAAAGCTAGTTAAAGGACTCAGTAAAAGCTTATACTTGTAATAGCATTTGATATCTGTGCAGAATGCATCTGAAGAAGATATCTGACATATTTAGAAAGAAAAAGAAACTTTTCAAAAAGTATCCAACTATTTTGACTTGTTTTTGGCGCTAGCGATCTTCGCTACCAATAAGGATGTTGCCTCTATGGTAGGTTATGTAAACAGCAAAAGGTTATTTTCATCGTATTGTCAATACTCATGAATTGGTCATCGTTTTTTCCTTTTGGCAAAATATCCTTGGTGTCACAAAGAAAGGACAAGCGAGAGACTAGTTGTACCAGGAGACCAGAACTCTAACTGACGAGGTCTCATTTATCTCCTTTGTCAGAACCATTCTTTCGTTTGCTTGGGTATCTGAAAGATGAAAATCGCCGAATTGACAGCATATACAGCTTCGCGCCAGTTACAGTCCAGTTATCCATTCTCTTTCCTTCTTCCTTCCTTCCTTCCTCTCTTCCCTCTCCCTCCCTTTCCTCCTTCCTTCTTTGGGTTCATCCTTTTCTTCCTAATTTTTTCATCTCTTCATAAAATAATTCTCGTGTACCGTCATCGTCGACATCAGTCTCATTAGATTTACTACTGATGACATCGGCCATGCACCGAGGACATCTCATGTCGTATATTTGGTATCCAGAAATTGCACTGAAACCAAGAATTACTCATCTTTTTCCACATAAAATTGGTTTATTGTTTTCCCGTGTTAATGCGTGTTCTCAAGATGGCACCCAGTCACGGAAACCTAGAGAATGATTTTCGTGCTAATCTCTCAAATTATTCATAAGCATTGCGTGTCCTATCATTGAGGTAATTGAGCAATATGCACTTGACAATGAAACGAACTTCATTTGTCATCAATGCTGCTTCCTTGATTATCGTGATATACAGAACATAGCGTACGTAGGAGAGGAATTGTGATGTGCGGCATGTTTAACAATCCAAGCCGTAGTACATATATACATGTTATTTATCAACTGGTTTCAAAAAGGCACAAAAAAAGAGTGACGTTTGTGTCAAGTGCCTTAAAAAGTGGATAGATTTACAAAATAAAGGTTCAAAAAGAACTAATACTTTATCTTGAGATCTTCAATCTGAACATACTCTTCAGTAATCTAAACCAAGTGATATCTAAAAATAAAAACGAACTACTCGTATCACATGTGACCTCATGTAAGATGTGTATTTCAAGGCCAGAGAAGGAGTGGACTGTATAGATTCTATTTCTATAAACGATAGGAGATGTACTGTTTAATAAACGAGCAGGAGTGTTTTATCGGGTATAGAGGCGCAGCCGAGTGGTTTTAGAACCGATTAAACACGATCTGCGAGTTTATTGAACGGCTTAGAAAACTCATGATGGATGTTCTCATATTGTACTGAATACTTTACGAAATGAACCAAGTTTGATAGAGAAAATCCAAGTTCAAGTTTATGCAAATGAAGACGAATCTATATCAGATATAAAATCACCTTCATGGTCATGATTTCTATTGTGTTTCCTTCATGAATTATTAATGAGTTTTCTAAAGCTCATTTAAAGATCCAAGAATAGCTGGAATGACTTGTGTTTGGTAAACTTTGGTAAACTTTATTGATGAATAAAAGAATACAAAAAAGAAAAACTATATAACCTGCATATAGCTAAAGCTAGTCTAGGCAGGTTAAATTCACAGAATATACAGGTAGATTTACAAAGATGTCTTTATATGTTAATAATA